AGCCGCTGATCATAGGGGGAGGGCCGCAGAGCAGGATCTTGACGTCGTCGGCGGGCTTGGGGAGCCATTTCTGCAAGTGGAAATTAGCACCTCATTATCGCTGGCTGCCGGGTACAATTGAGAAAAGTAGCGCTTACCGTGATCATGTCGGCGGTGACGTAGCCGACGCCGCCGGTCCAGCCCTCTGGGGGCTTGTCGAGGACGTAGTGGACCCTGAAGCCCTTGTCCTCGGCGGCGAGGGTGTCGAGGTCCTCCTTGAGCAGGATGTCCTGCTTGGTGACGTTGGCGAAGATGAGGTCGACCTCGGTGCGGTCGCCGGCCTTGCGGCCGCGGATGATGGCCTTGACGACCTGCAGCATCGGGGTGATTCCCGTGCCGCCGGCGATCATGCCGAAGTGGCGCACCATGTTGGGGGTGTAGGTGAAGGCGCCCTTGGGCCCGCGCACACGGATGGTCTGGCCGACATTGACGGAGGCGAGGTGCTTGCTGATGTTGCCGGTCGGGTACGATTTGATCAGCAGGTCGAAGTAGCCGGCCTGCTCGTCGCCGCTGATGGGGGTGTAGGAGCGCACGATCTCCTTGGTCGTGCCGTCGGGCTGGGGCAGCACCGCGCCGATGGAGATGTGCTGGCCGATGGGGAGGCCGAGGATGTGTTCTGAGCTGGGCAGGTTGAAGCGGTAGCTGCGGCGTCGTCAGTCAGCGAGATCAGGTCAGATCAGGTGGGCGGCGCTGGTATTCCCAGCGCTGGCGCAGACATACATGGCGGTGTTGTGGGACAGGATGGTCTTCTCCTTGAGGTCGAACTCTTGGAAAATATCAGGCTTGAGGGTCTTCTTGGGTTCTGCGGCGGAGTGCTGTCAGCTGGCATGTTCGGCTCCCGAGACTGTGTATGTCTGCCAGAGAGGCAGTGGTATAGGAAAACTCACGACTCCTCCAGAACTTGATGCCGGCCAGCGCGAGGGTTACGAGGACCGCGTACGGGAGCCATTCCTTCTTAACAATGGCGACGCCGACAACGAGCAGGCCGGCGGGGATGTAGATGCCGTCGACATACTTTTTCGAGCTCAGAGGTTCCTTGGTAGCCATTGCGATAGGTGGCTGTCTGCTGTGAGCTTGTCCGTAAACAATGCCCACTCGAGTTGGAGAAGAGTGGGATGAATTGGTCTGCCTTTGAACCTCGGGGTAAGCCGGTCAAGGTTCGGATTCTCTGTTGGGAAGAGGAACACGCGCGGTTGAGCCAAGCTTCGACGGCGGAGCCCGAATCGGCCCATACGGACCAGGATGCAAGGGTCCTGGGGCGTGTCTTTTTTTTGGTGGGGGGCAGGCCCGGAGCCTTAGAATGGCAATTGGCGCCGATGACGGGTCCAATCCAGCCAAGTCACTCCGTACAAGCATGCGACGGGCCCCACTTATAAGCCCGTGAGCCAGCTGTGCACTGCTCCACACGATTTAATCACTCGGCTCAGAAAAGATGGTTTACCAGCAGCGTCAATGCAAGGTGGAAGAAGCGGTCGGCCCCAGAATCGGGACAAGACCGGGCCTGAGAATACCTGCGACGCGGTCTGCGCTGCTGCTTTCGCGATTGGCTCTATCTGCTGCGCCGCACTAACAGCCTCGTAGGTTTCTAAATAGTACCTAGTTAGTAAGCGGCAGTCAGCTGTACTGTAGCCACTGGCTGAGGGGGTAGTGCTGTACTCTAGAGGTAAGTCAAATCCAGCCTCGGGGCCTGATGCGTGGGTGTTGCCGTTCTTCATGCCGCTGTCAACTTTGGACACTCGCGCCCGGCGTTTGAGCAAGCGGTGCCTCTCCTACCAGGGGGGGGGGTATTTAACTGCATTGCGTAAGCCTTACAGAATAATAGTGAAATACTATGAACATTGTTAATATAATTACAAAATATTTGAATCATATAACACAAACATAGTAGAAATTATTACTTTGTCTTGGCCTGTGGGCAAGGACATCGTTTCGCAAACTTTTTACGACTATGGCATATCTCTACCGGTTTTCCTGACTTATAGATCGGAAACATACAAGTCGAGACAGAACTTGTAAACAATATTCTTGAGATGGCATTTTGCCGAGTATTCGAGTTGCTTTCTCATGTGCTGCTGAAGGAGTTCTTTGGGATTCCTAGTGGGCGTGAGATGTATGCCAACGTCGGCCTTAATGTTCCCCCCCCCCCACTTCTTTAGGGACAATGGGTACCACCAGACCATAGAGACCGGTATTCAAAATTGCACAGGGATTCGTCTGACCCTGAGATCATTGAATCGGTCAGTGTCCGGGCTGAACGGTTGTCACGACGGGCACGGCAGTTAGCCCGGCGGACGTAAGCTAGAGTCCTTACCGCAGGGAACTATCGCACTGTCCTTCGGCAACTTGCTGAAGATAATGGGTTCTCTCTAGAGTCCATCACGTCTTTAAGCCAAATAGCAACAAACGACACACCTGTCGATTTCAAATCCAAATTCGAGTACCTCCGAGGAGTGGAAGAAACGAAGCACAAAAAGGACTTCTTGGCGCCAATAGGGAGTTCCCAGGCACTCGTCAGCATCGTAATCGATTCAAACGATATATACATTAGAAGGACAGACCTTTCAGATAACCCAAATCGGCTTTACGCCCTACAAGGGGTGAAATTCACTCGCCAAAACGCACGTATTTGGACCAGTTCCTTCGAAGCATACGGCTCAGGACGTCAAGATTTAAGGCGTTCTCTTCTAGTGCGAATCGTGTCTTAGAGCTCAATCGCCTGGCTGTTCTAGAAAGCTCTGCGAGAATCATTGTCATGTGTGGCATAAAAGCGCAAGTCGACATAATAGCGGCCATGGGATCTCAACTCGTCGGCCCTATTACAATGTTCTTAATCAGTCACTCTATGTGGCTCTTACCTAAAGCACAAGATACCTAAGAAATTTCAAGGATATTTATTAGCTGCCCCAAACCCGACATTTCTATCCTTGTGCACAACAGGAATTCCATGAGGGGAGTCACAGATGTTTTTAGATTCGTCAGTACGGTCACTGGTATCCAAAAACTAAACTTCGCTTTCTTTAAGAACGTCAGGTTCTATTCAGCTCTAAAATTACGATAGAAGCGCGAGCAAAACAAGGAGATACAGCCGATAAAACTAGACGATCTAGACTCAGAATCTCGAGAATGGCTTTGGCGTCGTGGTTTTGCGACGGATGCAAATATTCTTCAGCTTGAAGAAATTGCTGGATTTATATCCCGCGGGTTAATTTACCTAGTCGTCGTCCTCAGCCATGACAGAGGAACTACGGGGCCCGAGATCAGGACTTCACAGCCAAGTGAGTCAACTTCTTGGTCGCGAACAAATGACGTCTCGCTACACAAGCAACCCCGTGTTCAGGATCCCGAGACTATGCGACAAATGAAGATCTTGTGGGACAAAGTCCATAAAGAGCACCTCAAGCGCATTGGCGAGCTTCGACGGGCGCAGAACGAGCACCATCCGGTGACAGAAGACCAGATGGAAAGCTTTTTCGAAGATTCTCTACCGTCTGTACATAGTCTTGAGAAGAAACCAACATGTCCTTAGACCTCTCAATCCCTGTAGCCAAGACGAAGAGATCACCAACCCCCGACCGAGGACAAGATTCGGCACCGCCAAGTGCCAGTCCCAAGAAAGTGCGCATAGACGAGGAGACCTCCACTGGCCACACATCAGCTCCTGATGAACCAGTTGATCATCTCACAACTGCGCGTACTAGTCCAAGCCGCTCTTCACAGCTGGCTGCGCAGAAAGCCCATGCACAGACGACGCCAGGGAAGCGCATTCCCACGCCGCGGGAGACCCAGGCCGAGCCCCGATACACTCCCATCCCGGCTCCTTTCCAGCAGAGGTGGCCCCGTGCAAAAATCCCTGCTATGAAGTCTAGCCAGGACCGAATCTTTCCAGCAGCAGCGAACAATATATTGGAGGATCCGGTCATAGACCTGTTGTCTGGGGTATTAGGGGAAGATGAGAACGAAACTTCGACTGTCTCGGCCGCGAACGATCGACACAATATGAGCAAGACATCAGTTCAGGCAGTAGGTCAACCAAAGCAGAGCCTTCGGAACAACTTGTTGAATGGCACTTACAAGGTCAAACCGACGATGCCGGCCAAGGGCAAACATGTTGTCTGGCTCAGCCTTGGACACTATGACCATTTCTCGATACCGCTCGATCCCACAAGTGACAATCAGCAGGTATTTCGCCTCAGAGCCGATCTCGCAAAGCCCGGCACAATCTATGCCCATCGGATACTGGGTGATTCCGACTTGTACGAGCAAAGCGACCCGGCTCTCCAGTTAGCCATCCAATATTGCCAGGGAGAAAAGAATAGCGGGCAGGGGTCTTCATGACAATGGGCTTCAAAGAACACTTCTCGTGAAGGCTTATTCCGTATAAACACACTTGTTGATATATTAGAGGGCATACCGACTGAATCCACCAGCGTAAGACCCCGTAGGTGGTGGAGGTCATACCATATTGGCGGGAAATACACAAGCCAGTATAATGACTAGGTACCTAGATAGGCTGAGATATGTGCTTGGCTGGACATACCGCAAATTAGAAGTCCTTTGTTGCCGGTTCTATGTTTCAGACAACCAGGGTGACACTGCTATAGCTCACAACAAGCTTCACTTGGGTGTCTGCTACGCAGCCACTGCATCTATTGATGGATCCGTGTAGGCCGTGGTGCTACCGCCCCACGGCGATATGGAGAGTTTTATACAAAAGGCATGCAGTATAATGGTAAATAGAGGTTTCTGAGTCATGAAAGTAGGTTGCTGTGCGCAAGCCACACATTTTGCGGTACAGAATGTAGTCAAGCCATAGGGGCCTTTTGGATATGGTATGACGTCACGTGCTTTTTTAAAGTTGGATTGGGGAAAGATTTCAACGACTAAGACGCAACATCTTGTAGAATGGTCTGAAATGTGCTACTTGGGCTACACAAATCCTCATTGACATGTACAATGAGGTAGGCAAGATGGCCGAGCGGTCTAAGGCGCTGCGTTCAAGAGTATAAGTCTCTTCCTGGGAAACAGGTCTTGCAGTATCGAAAGATGCCGGGGTTCGAATCCCCGTCTTGTCAGTTAACACAATCGTTATGTACCTTTTTTTCTTTTTCTTTTTCTTACTTTTCTTTGCACTACTACTAATATACTTCATATGAGTTATATAAGTTGCCCCGTTTAACTATGCCTGAATGATAGATGTAGCATAAAATAAGTGGTGTAAAGGTGTTTTTAGCCCGTTAATATGGCTGGTTCTGGGTATATTTTTCTTTAGAGGTTTATGTATTAGAAATGGTACCTAAAACTTGCTTACAGTTCTTAATATTGTAATTACTATAGCAAGTGTGGACAGAATATGTCTTTACAGGATTTTTGAGTCGCCGGCAGTGTACTACGAGAAGTCTGAAGCTGGCTGACCGAGTCTATCAACATCAGGAATCTACTTACATTACCTACCCTCTGTCAATAATTATCAATCATTTATCAAAAAGGCCCCCATTCCTCATCTAAGAATCCCCGGTTGAATGTAGCACTGCCACTTCAAAACAAAATTTATTTTTCAACGTGACACAAGGCCGGCAGCAATTTGAGAGATTTGTGTCAATATATATGTAGCCTGTCATCCAAGAAGACTGGATCTATTTATAGTGTCCTGGATGCATGTATCTGGTAGGGCCTGGAAACATGTGCACCATCTACTTTCACGACTCAATGCCGAACATGTCAACATATTCCCCCCTCCGCCCCCAAACTCTCCCATTTGGCATCATCCTCCATATGGCCTGTGGCACTCTCCTTTTTGCATGATACAGTATGAGAAAACAGTTTTGCTCTTAGAACAAATAGTGCCTCAATAGCCGGATCGACTGTTAGTATTCAAACTAACAGCTGGCCGATCATTAGCACTAACCATTATAACGATACCTTTACAGCCAATTGTTGACCTTTAGCTCAAGTATAACGGATGCAAAGCCAAGTAGCTTGCCAAAGGAATGGAGGGCATTGGTTGAACTGGACCCTCTAAATCAAGCCCCAAGGGTAAAACAACGGTGGATGTAGGTACGGAAGAACGAGTGAGCTACATCGAATAATTGAAGACATGTCAAGCAGTCAGTGTGTCCTGTCTGAATTAACATTGAAGATTTGTCAGCATAATGGTTATCTCGCAGTGGCCAAGGCCAGGACGGCATGACCCAACCGCATGAGTGCACTCCACACGACCAATGTAAGCACACCCCACAACGTCACCCCCTCATGACAACAATGTTCATTTCTAATCATCCTGGCTGCCGTTAGGCCTTTGCATATGGCTCGGAGACTTATAAGAGCAAGGGGAATGGTCCTTGGTATCAAGTGAATCTTGTGAGTAGACCATCTTGGAACAAGTTTACCGAGTTTTGCAATCGGAACTGAGAAATCAGACTTTTTCAGCCATTGGGCTTACAATTTCCTCGGTATTGACGCAGATAGCCCGATTGTGCGCTCTGTCAGCAAAAGATGTCGAGGCTCGTGGTAATCGTAGGCATCACCGGCAACCAAGGAGGAAGTGTCGCAGAGTCCTTCCTCGCTGACACCAACTGGCGAGTCCGAGCCATCACGCGAGACCCATCCAAGCCCGCCGCCCAGGAATGGACAGCCCGAGGTGTGGAGCTGGTGACCGCCGACCAGGACGACGTCGACTCCCTGACGAAGGCCTTCACCGGTGCACACGCCATCTTTACAATGACAGACTACTGGGCGCCAATGTCTAACCCGTCGGTGAGGGCCACTGCAGCAGAGCGCGGCATCACCGCCGAGCAGCAGTGTGCAGAGATAGAAACACAGCGCGGCAAGAACATGGCCGTGGCGGCGTCCGTGCCCGAGGTGCAAAAGACGCTGGAGCGCTTCGTCTACAGCAGCCTGCCGGACGGGACGAAGCTTTCGGGCGGAAAGTACACCAAGGTCTGGCACTTCGACAGCAAGGCCGCGGTCGAGGACTTTGTCCGCCACGACCCTGCCATGGTCTCCGCCGGCCTCAGCCAGAAATCGAGCTTTATCCACGTCGGCGTGTACGTCGACAATTGGCGGCGGGGATCGTTGGAGATGGCGAAAGACCCTGAGTCGGGTGGGTACTACCGCGTCCAGTTCAGCGACGGGCGCGAGAAGCTGCCCTTTATCTGGATTCTTCGGGATACCGGCCCTCTCGTGAAGAAGCTCGTGGAGGATGTGCGGCCCGGCACGAGGCTGCTTGGCGTCAGCAGCATGGCCTCGTACAGGGAATACTTCAGCACCTGGGCTCGAGTTGTTGGCAAGCAGCTGGGAGGCGACCAGGGGATCAAGCAGGTTTCGCCCGAGGAGTGGTCTGAGCGGTTGAGGGGCGACAAGGACCATAAGCAGCACATGCTTGAAACCTGGGCATTTGCTGAAGAGTTTGGCTACGATGGTGGCGACCCGGAGATGGTGTATCCCAAAGATGTTAGTCCCCCAAGTCTTTTTGCGCACCTATGCAAATGCAAGCCTCTTCAGGGCTTATTGACTGCTCTCCCATGTCTCAAAACAACATGACTGACCGTGAATGGAGCAGATCGGCGCAGAGGATCTTCTGACATCTATCGAGGAGTACGTCCGATGGGAGGACTGGAGTCCTCTTCCCAAGTAGAGCTAGCCATACTTTGATCCATCCTGCCTCTTGCTTCATCAAAAGTGGGCGGTGGTGTGGATTTGTGCCGTGGAAAGTCAGATTTAGTAGTTTTTGTACGCGTTCATGATAAATACCACTCGTTCATTGATGCTTATGATTTCTGATTGCGTATAATCTCTTCCTGTGTTTATGTCGCGATAATTCAGAAATAGCACATGATATTGCGTTAAGGAAGCGAATTTGGGACACTGCCGCTTAATGAACGACACATATCTGTGCAAACCTTTCTTGAGCTCAATAATTTCGAGTCGCAGTGGTTGCTGTGGCTACTTCGTACAGCGCGTTGAGTTCCACATAAAGGTCATCCTCCTATGAGAGGCTGTATATGTACATACAATGCGTGTCTAGATAGACATTGTGTGATCTCTTGCAATTCTTCTGCAATCCCGTAATTGCTGACTTTGCCCAGAAAGAAGTAGACCTTGGGCTCTCGCCAAAGCCTGGGGAGTCGGTGCTGCCCAGCAGATGTCGTGATCCACATTACGTGGCGGTCGGGCGTAAAAGTGGACTTTGTCAAGTTGGAGTATCACGAATACGTACTTAGTCTCGCTCTCGCAAATAGTCTGCGGAGTCCTGGGTCGACAATCTTGCCGACCGCTCGGAGACTTTTTCTTGGCCAGTCGCCTTGAGGCATGAAGTTCGATAATTACTGGCAAGCGTGGCAGGGTAGTCCAACATGAAATGCAAGAATGTGGATAGATTCCCGGTTGAGTCTTTTTCCAACACCGCGATTAGAGTTTGTCTCAGTCGTCCGCCTTTCGGCCGAGTGCGTCCGATACTCCCAAGGATGCGCAAAGTCTTGTTAATCAGGTTTTTAGTTCCCGGGACGCATGGTGGACTATTCTATACACTTCGCACTCCATCAGTTCCCCGGCGATCAGCAAATATGAAAGGGCAGCAGCCCCCGCCCTTCTCATCAGACGGAGCTCGTATCCCTTTCACCTCACCATTAGCATATGCAGCTTCCTTTGCATCGCCAAAATGAAGGTCATTATCTTTGGTGCATCCGGAGAGACGGGTCGTTCCATCGTGAAGGGCCTGCTCGAATCCACCACGCAGTTTGTATGTTTTTGTCCCACATAGCTGAGCGCTACCGAGGAGAGGGGTTAACTGTTGACATCCGATGCCAGGACATCACGGCTGTAACCCGAGAGGCATCCCTCAACAGCAAGAACAACGATGACCTGAGGGGTCGGGGCGTCAGGGTTGTGACTGCGGATCTCAGAGGTCCCGAGGACGACCTGGTCGGCCTTCTCAAGGGCGCCGATGTTGTCATCTCGACCATCGTTGCAACAGTCTTGTTGGACCAGATCCCCCTCGCAAATGCGGCGAAGAAGGCTGGCGTCGGCCGCTTTATCCCCTGCACCTTTGCAACGGCTTGTCCTCCGACAGGCGTGATGAAGCTGCGCGAGACGGTCAGCAGAGACTGCCTCACTCCCCACTCACAGAACAGAGCCCTGTAGCTGACGACGTCGGCAGAAAGAGAAAGTCTTCAACCACATCAAGAAGATTTACCTTCCGTACACGCTCGTCGACGTGGGCTGGTGGTACGAGGTCAGCGCGCCCAGGGTCCCTTCGGGGCGTGCCGACTACGGCCTCCTGGTGCCAGTAACACATCTGGTGGGAGATGGCTCATTGCCCTCTGCCCTCACTAATGTCCAAGATATTGGCCGATACGTGGCGAGGATCATTGCCGACCCCCGCACCCTGAACAAGATGGTCTTCGCGCACAACGAGGTCTGGACGCAGCAGCAGATTTTCGACAAGGTCGAGGAGCTGAGCGGGGAGAAGCTAGAGCGCAACTACGTATGAGATTTTCCCCATTCCTCTACTTTACCCCCTTGGTCTGCCTGTGGCCGCTTTGCTAACCTCGCGTCTGAGAAGCTGCCCGGGGAGGTGCTGCAGGCCCAGGGCGCTGGGCTCTTGGGGCCGGACGGAGCCGAGCCAGCAGATGCTGCCCTCCTACCGAAGTTTTGGTTTATGGAGTACCAGTACTCATGGGGCATTCGTGGGGACAACACGCCCGAGAACGCCAAGTACCTGGGGTATCTGTTGGGCAAGGAGCTGTACCCGGACTTGGAATTCACCTCGTACGAGAGCTACCTGAAAGACTTGCTGGAGGGGAAGGCTACGAGGGCCTATGCGTGATTACACTTTAGTTACAATATCGAGTGGTGCCGTTACGGCCCGAATAATGGAAGTCTCATGCTGCCAACAGTGAATTTTGCGACCTACGTTTTTACGCGTACCTTACTGTCACTGGGAGAGCAGACAGCCTGGAGTGGCAAGCCTACCATCTCCTAGGAACCCTGCTTGCCATGATCGAAAACAATATCTGAGAAACACGATGCCCTGGTCCGGTCAGTTCCAACACAGAGTATTTGCGCTTTCCTGTCG